CAGAATATATACTTGTTCAACCACTAGACTCGCCTTTTCTCTGTAACACCCTGTGGATTTGACTGTCGTACCCTGAATCCTATGCTCAAAGGCCTTAGCCCTCCAGGTCTTGAATAGCCCCAAGGCCCTCAAGCCATCAGCCGTTTCGCATTTTTTTTCTCGGACTTATTTTCATTCTATCTGAATTGAACCATGCAGATCCCCCTGAACTCAAAACGGACATCGGGCGACGACAGTATTACTGCCCCTGACGCAGATATGCAGCCAGCCGCAAGACAACTTACCACCGAACAATATAACCGGACTTGACTTTGACTTACACCGCATTGGTTGGCATGCGTCTCTTTCTTACGCCTCGAAAAGTGTCCAATGCAATACATAACATACATTGCCTCTCATTTCGGGACTTCGTACCTAGATATATACTGCATGATGTTGATCAACCCTGGTGCCCAATACGTTTCTTCAATCTCCGACTGTGAGAGAACACACTTCGAGGGTCAACCGAGCTACTTATGACGTGCACACTTTATAGGATACAAGGAGAGAACTTCACAGAGTAATAACAATGACATACGTATGTAGAAACCCGAAAGGGGATGGAATGAGGGGAAATTTCATCGCTGCTTCAGGGATATTAAAGATATATCGAACAACAAAGCCAGAAAATCATTGGCAGCAAAACTTATGTTCCCTTCTATTTGCAAGAAGCCCGATAGACGCATGAAGACCGAACCGCTAGACTCACGTTGGTCCCCAAGCCAACCCGTAGAAGTGAAACAACCAAGAGTCCCAAAGACCGGTCACGAAACATGGCTAATCTAGTACTCGGGCTCCAGCTCCTCATCACCCTCGATGGAGTCGGAGGCGACCTCCTCGTAATCACGCTCCAGAGCAGCGAGATCCTCACGAGCCTCAGAGAACTCACCCTCCTCCATACCCTCACCAACGTACCAGTGAACGAAGGCACGCTTGGAGTACATGAGATCGAACTTGTGGTCGAGAGCGGACCAGGCCTCGGCGATGGCGGTAGTGTTGGACAGCATGCAGCTATATTTTAATTAGTATTAAAGTCGTAACTAGGTTCCAAGACTCAAAGAATCAGAATGAAAACTTACACAGCACGGCTGAGGTTGGCAAGATCGCCGTTGGGGACCTGCTGGGGAGGCTGGTAGCAGATACCGAGCTTGAAACCAGTAGGGCACCAGTCGACGAACTGGATGGTGCGCTTGGTCTTGAGGGTGGCGACAGCAGCGTGGGCGTCCTTGGGAACAACATCACCACGGTAGAGCAGACAGGTGGCCATGTACTTGCCGTTGCGGGGGTCACACTTGACCATCTGGTTGTGGGGCTCGAAGCAGTTGGAGGTGATCTCGGTGACAGAGTGAGCCTCGTGGGCGGCCTTGTCGGCGGAGATGATGGGAGAGTAGGCGACCAGAGGGAAGTGGATACGGGGGTACGGCACCAAGTTGGTCTGGAACTCGTTGAGGTCGACGTTGAGGGAACCGTCGAAACGCAGGGAAGCAGTGATAGACGAGACAACCTGAGCGATCAGGCGGTTCAGGTTCTCATAGCTGGGGCGCTCAATGCCGAGGTTGCGGCGGCAGATGTCGTAGATAGCCTCGTTGTCAACCATGAAGGAGCAGTCGGAGTGCTCCAGGGTGGTGTGAGTGGTGAGGATAGAGTTGTAGGGCTCAACAACGGCGGTAGCGTTCTGGGGAGCAGGGTAGACACAGAACTCCAGCTTGGACTTCTTGCCGTAGTCGACGGACAGACGCTCCATCAAGAGAGCACCGAAACCGGAACCGGTACCACCACCGAAGGAGTGGAAGACCAAGAAACCTTGGAGACCAGCACAAGCATCGGCAACACGACGCACACGGTCGAGGACCTCATCGATCATCTCCTTACCCACGGTGTAGTGACCACGGGCGTAGTTGTTGGAAGCATCCTCCTTACCGGTGATCATCTGTTCAGGGTGGAAGAGCGAACGGTAGGTACCGGTGCGGACCTCGTCAACGACATTGGGCTCGAGATCGGCGTAGATAGTACGGGGAACGTACTTGCCCTGGCCTGTGAAGTGGGGGAGAAAGAATGTTAGGAAGCCATGCTTTGGAATTTGCACATCAAGGCGGGGGAACATTGAAAAAAAATTAGGTTTTCCATACCAGTCTCAGAGAAGAAAGTGCTGAATCCGTGGTCGGGATCGGCCTTCTTGCGCTCCTCAGTGAGGTATCCATCGGGCTATCATCGATGTTAGTCGCGGGTGTTTACCTTTCGGCAAGAAAATAGGGGGTACGGTGCCCGAGTCAAGATTGGGCGCCACCACGAATTTGATTGGAATTTCAACATACCTGGATACCGTGCTCCAGACAGTACAGCTAAAAAATCAGTGCTGTCAGTTTACCGAAGACTTGTCTCTCAATGGGGTGTGGATAGTTACCTCCCAGCAGGAGTTGGCGATCTGGCAACCGGCCTGGCCGACTGTAGGGGATGATCATGTCAGCGCGTTCATTAAAGAAAATATATCAATTCTGACGAGCAGAATAGACGGACGATGTTGACATACCGTTCAAACTGATAATCTCTCTCATTGTGATCGAGTCGATGTTTTTAGGCTAAAAAATCAGGAGGGGGAAATGAAACCCAAACAACAAACGCGGCGGTCTGAGACTCTCAGTTAGGCTCGAACTCGGAAATGCACGATGGAAGGGGGCGGGGGCGATGGCCTTCGTACCTGAAGAATGGAGGAATGGACGAGAAGATGGAAGGGAAAACAAAGTCGACCAGAAATGTTGTGGAGGAGGAGCCGTCTGTGCTGTACAGGGGGGAACTTCGTTGTTGATCCGTTCGTTGGGTCGCGTTAGGCCATTTGATTGGCTCCTTCCCGGTGAGGAGCAGCGGTTACTGACCGCCTCGTAGTGGTCTCGTGATTCCACGTGATGGCATTAGTACCTTGGAATATATGAGTACTAAGGACATATTTCAAGCTGAAAGTAGTTAGGGAAATTCGAAATTCCAAAAAAGATTGCCAAGTTTGTTGAGTGCCCAGGTCAATTTCTTGAAGGTGTTTGGTGGGCGGTGTTGGAGCTATCGGAATACTCGGTCAGTTAGGATCCACTCGGGGGGAACCACCTCGAACCACCATTCGGCCATATTATAGCCAAAGTACTACATGTAAGACGCACACCTCCATGCTATATATACTTACAGACTTGCAGATTCAACATTTGAATGCTAATTGACATTCAGTACTATCATTGTGAAAACTGCTCAAGGCTCGTCATGAGCCAAGAATAAGTTATCGCTAAAACATCATCTCGTCCACCTAAAGTCTCCATGCATATCAAGCTCGTTCCCACGCTGGGACTCATGCTCCCGCTTTTCACAGCAGTGGCGCAAGCAAACGTGGAAAAGACCATCTTCCTGGCACCAGCCCCAGCGACCGTCCCTTCCGAGGAGCCAGACCTCGACGACTTAGGTCTGGAGCGTCTATCGCCACAGAGGCCCGTGGTGCGCACTCGCCTCAATGCCTCGTTTCCAACTACCGAGACTCCCGACGGCACAGACTCCTGGTTCTTTCTTGAAAACCTGAACCCGGGCCAGCGATATGAAGTACGGGTGTGCTGGCTAGCCACAGTAAGACCATCCATCAATTAGTCCTCTCTAATCCTCTCTAAATATATATAATACCCATGCCATATATAAATATAACTAACAACCCTTAGCAACCAACAAAATTCACCCTCACCACCTATCCGCTGTCAAAAATAATCGAAGACAAAAACCTCCTGTCTTCCCTGAGCATGTACACAGCAGCACGACTCGCAACACTAGACCCGAAACTCCAAGAAAATGCCATTCCGCGCCGTGACAATCCACGCAGTAGCAAAGAACCGCTCGACCCTGCGCCGACTAGTGACTCGGTCCTGTTTCTGCGTGTGCACGCCGCAGCAGATTACTTCAGTGCCGAGCAGGCATTGATGCAGAACGTCCCACCCGTAGCGGTGGACTTGATTCTTGATCCATTCTTGTTTAATGTTTTCCCGCGCTCATTGGTGCCGACTGCTGGGTGGATTGTACTTGTTGCTGTTCTTGCGCTGGTAATTGGTAGGTGGGCCGTGAAGGAGGTTGGGAGGGCTGTGGATGATGCTCGGAGGCAGAGTGTTTTGGAGGAGATGAAGAAGAAATGAGGTTGATGTGGGCTTTGCGTTTCTTGTCGGAGATGTACGATTGAACTAAGTGTGAGCTAAACAATGAAAACTATCGGGATATATTTCTTCGTTGCTGTGTGGAGATCTAACGTGGCCTTTCTGGCGACTACTTGTATATCTCGCCCTTCTGGAAAGATTTCACAATGCCTACCGAAATGGTAGACACAGGTTGCCGACGAAAGCTAATGAATTAGGACTGATCCAATGGAGCCCACTGATGAAGAATGAATGGGAGAGTCACGGAGAGTGGGCAGTCAACCTCATTTAACTATATAGCTGATATAAAAGCTCTATAGCTTGGACTCTACATAATCATTAGATACAAGCTCAAGGTTGTGCAGCCAGTGTAGAACTATACCCGGACAGACAAGGTCAAATGACAGATGTAAAAAGCAAAATTCAGATAGCATAACAAGAACAATTAAATGCCGAAGCCGCAATGTCGGGTACATAGGGGTGTGGTGGATACAAGATGAACAATGGCGATGGGGAATTCTTAACCATAACAAAGATATGGGCAGCGAAGAGCGGCAACAGGGATAAGAGTCATAAGCAAAAAGAAAACCAAAAGATAACGCCGCAACCAACGTGTAGGGTCAACCAACTCTCTCTTCTTTCTTTCCTCCCAGAATCTGATTGGCATGTATGCCAGTCTATTCAAGATAAGCCCACACCTGCCATCTAGGTAGATCAAATGACAATATCACACAAATCTCCCGTAAAATCATAGGTCCGTAAATGGCTCAGCGGTTAGTACAATAACATAGCATAATCTTAATCTTAATCTTAATCTTCAAAGAAGTTCAGGATCGCGCGAATACCCTTGGAGCCCAGGCCATGGGTCGGGTAGGAGATGTACAGCGGGTCCTCGGTGGCGCCGAGCTTAGCACGGAATTCACTCTTGCGCACAAGATGGAACTGTTTAGCGAGGGCTTCGTAGGTGTGTTCCAGCATCTTGACCTTGGTTCCGTGCATGTTGTGGCCAGCGGTGAGCTGGGAAGTGGCGCCAGCACCAAATGTGAGGCCCTTGACGCCGCCCTTAGCGGCGGTCTGGATTGCATGCGTGACAATGTATTCAATAACACCACTGGGTGCGCCGGGGAAATCAAGACTGTATTTGACTTGCATACCGTGGGCAGGAGACAGCATAGCCAAAGCGACGAACGCACAGACGAGGCCGTTCTTGTCTAGAGCATAGAAGTACCAACGGTGCTCGGAGTCGCACCATGGGCGGATCTGGGACAGGTGCACTTGCGTGCCCTTGCGGTTGGACAGCCACTCGCTGACACGCTCGTCAATCTTCTTGCGGATATCGTCTGGTACCATCTCGCCTTGCTTCATAGAGACCAGCTTAATGCCCTCACTTTCAGCGCGACGCAGCTTACGTGCAAGCTCGCCGTCGGAAGCGGCCTGGTTGCGCGATGGGTCAACGCGCTCTTCGGCGATACAGGACAAACTGCGCCAGCCTAGTCGCTCGCCAAGAATAGTTTCAACCTCAGGTGAACAGAGGATCCACACGGGCTTGAACTTGGTTTCACGGCGTAGCCACTGCAAAAATAGTGTAATTGTGCGTGTGTACTGCTTGGGGTCACAGGCCGGGTTACCCGGAATGATCGCGTAGTTGGAGGAGCTAGGCACGTAGGCGACGGCTGCACCAGTGGCCATGTCACGCCAGATCTTGAAGCGGTCATCAAACCAGGAGGTTGATGTGGCATCGCCGTAGTTAGCAACCAGATGTTCCAGAGGCTGCAGCTCACTGGGGTCCGAAGCTGTCCGAGCCTTGTGCTCACGGTGCCATGGTGGTTCAATGGTCGATGATTCTGGGTGACGGAGCTGTTCAGAGACAGGCTTGGCTGGCAGGCTCTTGGGGTCGCGAGGGAACATTGACGTTAGCCGGATGTTGCCCAGCTTAAGAATAAGCATCACAATACGTTCCAGGCCAACTCCGGCGCCGGCGTGGGGCGGGGCACCCCAGCGGAAGCCCTCAAGATACTCCTCCATATCGTCCGGGTTAATGCCTACACGACGCATGTTTTCCTCTAGCATGTGGGCATCGTGGATACGTTGACCACCGGAGACAATCTCTTGGCCACGAATAAACATGTCGAATGAGTTCGTGTACTTGTCGTCTTCGGCGTCGGGCATCGTATAAAAGGGACGTGCACCGCGAGGGAATTTGTCAAGAACATAGTAATCGGTGCCGTATTGCTCCTTGACGAGCTCACCCAGGCGAATCTCATCACGGGTACCCAGATCCTCGTCTAGAGGTAGTTGTTCGCCGTCTTCGTTCAACCAGCCCGAGTCGTTCAGCATCTTGATACCGTCGGTAAAACGAATGATCGGCGTCTCTTCTAGCCATACTACATCTTCAGAGGGAAACTGGTACTTGACAAGCTCAACCTCGCGGCGGTATTTGGTGTAGATGCCCTTGAGGATATTCTTAATCACAGCATCAAGGGTCTCAAGCATCTCGTGGTAGTGTTCCTCAATGGCCATCTCAAGATCCAACCCAGTATATTCTGTAAGATGACGGTGGGTATTAGAATTTTCGGCACGGAAAACAGCACCAATCTCGTAGACGCGGCCGAAATCAGCAGCGATAGCCATCTGCTTCGCCAATTGAGGAGACTGAGCGAGGAATGCAGCGCGGCCGAAATAGTTGACCTTGAAGACACTCGCTCCGGACTCGGTAGCGGCGCCTTGCAGCTTTGGCGTGTGGATTTCGACGAATTCGCGGTCGTCAAGGGCAGCACGGAAAAGATTACATGTTGCAGCTTGCAGACGGAAGACGGATTGCGAGGTTGCCGTGCGAAGGTCGAGGATCCGGTTGGCCAAACGTGTCCGGTCAGGGATATGGTTGCGGCGGCCCTCGGCCTTTTCTTCTTCGTTGGTCCGAATCTCTGCCTCGTAGACGCTGAAGGGGACAGGTTCATCGCGGCGAACCTGGAGGTGAACCGAGTCAACGGCCAGCTCAACATCATGGATTGAGCAACCCAACACTGGAACCTCAGGTTTCTGTATGGTGCCACGGACCATGACAAAAGAGCCAACCCGGAGATGCTCCACCCACTGGATCATGGCGAGAGACGATATCCCCTCCCGCTCATGCAACACACCCTGGAAGGTAGCTAGCTGCTGGCGGAATACCAGGAAGACTAGTTTGGCACTCATTCGACGGATTACGTGCAGTCGTGCGCTGAAAAGCACTTGCTGTCCCTCCATAGAAAGAGTTATGTCATCGATCCGAGTACGCACTTCTCGTGTTCGAGTGGCCGACTGCATTAAGGGAAGCTCGCCATACCGAGCTTTCATATCTGGGGTCTCCTCAGCTGCAGCTTTGGCAATCTCCTCTTCCTTGCGGCGGTGGTCGGTCTCGGAGAACATCTCCTCGCTGAGACGACTGCGCTCGCTTCGGCGGTGCTGACGCACCAACCGCTTTTGTTGGTTTTTGCTCAAGCCACCGGTAGACGAGTCGTCGGAGACATCGTCTGAGGAAGAAACATACTCATTCTTATCACGTAGGAAGTTGCCGAGGATGCTGCGACGAGGGGATGCGGTGGGGGAACTGGACCGAGATTGGGCGGTACGAACTTTGGGTGGCAGGGCAGAGCGAATGTTGGAACCAGAGGAGTCATCCTCACCTCCCAAGTGTCCTCTAATGGCCTTGGAGAGGGCACGTTTAATCGACATAGTGTAAGTTCTATGGACGAGAGAGAAAGAGAAAGAGGAGGGAGTTTGTATATATAAGGCAGAGGTGGGGGCGGCCGGAACGGGCGACTGATTTCCAATGGTTACAAAGCTTGGAAGTCCTGGAGGGTAAAGAGTCCGACAGCAAAACAGGGATTGCGGATAATTAGACTTGAATACTATTGAGTATTAGAGTAGAATTGAAAGAATTAAAAGAAATCAAAATAATGTAAATCTGTACTTTGTAAACCTGTAAACCTGTACAGGGCTATGGACATAGAAGGTGTGATGACATCATCCGAAACCTTGGAAGAAACCGTGCTTTTCTTGGTATGGAGCCCTGGAGAGAACCGGCCATTGCTTCGGGTGAGCTCACGTACTTTATTTTTACTATTCCTCCGATTTGTCTCTCGCTATTGTTATTTCCCGCTGACTATCTTGTTCTTCGTTCTTTTTCTCTTCGTTCTTCCCTCAATCTCAACTATTTCACCTGGGCCTACGGCTTTACGTCTTACCACCCTCGCCTTCCGGGTCCATCCGATGCATATGCCTGACCAGTAGGACGAACGTTTACTTCATACCGCAGCAACATGGCCTCATCTCGTTGGCGGCTCTATGTGCAGGCTGTCTTTTGGCGGTTCCTGATGCGCATCGGCATGTTCCTACATGAGATCGGCCCTCGACCACCCCGACCGTTATTCACCCGTACCGTCACCTCCGACGACCATTGCCATCCCGTCGTACTCCACTTCTACTGCCCACCAAATTATCACGAGCAACGAAGGCTAGGCCATCGCTTCCCCGTCGCCGTCAACTTCCACGGTGGCGGTTTCACACTTGGCGCCGCTACGGATGATTCTCGCTGGGCGAAAATAGTACTGGACACTGTCGGGGCCGTAATGGTGAGCGTCGCCTACCGACGAGCCCCCGAACACCCGTTTCCTGCAGCAGTAGACGACGGAGTCGAGGCACTACTATATCTGGCAACACATGCTGGCGAACTGGGATTGGATGTGAGCCGTGTGGCGCTGAGCGGGTTCTCGGCAGGCGGCAACCTGGCTGTCACGGTGCCCTTGCGACTTCGTGGCAGAGTATCCACCGAAGTGAAGGAAAACCTGGGCCGAGCCGAATCCACACAAAATCTGCTCAATCAAGTCAGCGATCTCAACATCGTTGCTGTGTTCTCTTGGTACCCGATTCTGGACTTTGAAGAGTCTCGTGACCACCGCCGTGCTATGAGTCTGATGCCAGACAAGACTCTCCCGGCATTTTTCACTACCCTCTTTGATGAGGCCTATCTTCCTGATTTGGAAGATCGTGTCTCCCCGTACGCCTCTCCTATCCACGCGTCTGACCGTGTCCTGGCTGAAGCTCTTCCCCGCGACGTGTTTTTATTTATCTGCGAGTGGGATATGTTGATGAAGGAGGGCCAATCCTTTGTTCGCCGCTTAGAAAGCCTCGGTAAACGCCCCCGTGCCATGCTAATCGAGAAAGCTCGGCATGCGTGGGATAAGTCACCCAATCCGTGGCGGGACCAAAACAGCGTGGACATATTATACCGCGATGCCTGTGCCGATATGAAGGCTATCTTCGATCGGTGATTGATTTTCTTGACTTCTTGGGCATGTATTATTCTTCGTTTGTTAGCACTACGGGACTTGACTTTGGCGTTTGAACTACTGGCATTCACAGCGTGGTCTGTACATAGCGTTGTTTGATATGATTATTTTACTGTCACTTTATCAGTCTGGTCATATTGTATACGTATAGTATAGATGTAGCTATCTTTCTGGCAGTAGCAATATCGAATTGACTCATATTTGTGCCAGCAAAGCTGCACAACGTTGAGCGAAGTCTTTCGTGCCCACAAAAGACACGCTGGGATGATTATTCAGACCGATTTCAACAAGGGTTGAAGCTGAAAGAATGTTAAAAGACGGATAATCTCTGATCAGAACTGTGTGACTCACCTTCAGGATTATACCTTGGCCATCCTAGGGCTTTCAGTCCGTGTTGGGGATCAGCAATGAATGAGCCCCAAGCCGAACGCATCTGATCCTGCAGCTGGCGCTGCGTATCAGACTCAGCGATCCCAGTAACTTCAGCAGATGCTCCGAAAATCATATTAAACTCGACACCATGATATGCTCCACTAGTGGGGTAAAGACGGGTATTGTCCCAATCCGCGTTGTATTGGAATCGCCAAACTGGTGTATGTCGGCGACTTCGGTGTGCTGCTTCGAGATTGGATGGACAGAAGAACGTTTGCATATTGAAGTCATCCCACTGCTCGTCTGTCAACGTCGATCCCTGGGCGTAGGTCGCAATCTTGTAGAATCCCGCTTCATTGGCGTTGTGCCCGACCAAATAGGGCTGTTTGTGGCAAGGCGGTAGTTAGCAGCTATATAGACCCATCGAGTATGTTAGAGAATAGGAGAGCCCACTCACGATGCGGGCGAATTTCCCTTGCTCCGAAAGAGGAGTGTAATTCGCAAAAACAGTTACGTCGTCCACAGTGGGCTGGAAGGCCGGTGCCTTCCTCGCAGGGTTTGTGGTCGGAACCTTCAGTGCACTAGCAGCGGCGAGAATGGCACTCGCATTCTGCTTTCTCATGCACGGCAGGACATCCCCTGAGGACCCACAACCTAACTGGGCAGACACAGTATACCAATGCTTTGCTGCGGTTGTCCTATTATTTGTAGGGAAGCTTATGGCTGTACCTGAATGCGAGATCAAACCGGCCACCAGGGGTTCAGACTGGTAGGCGTATGCCCAATAATCAACCGAAGCACTTCCGCAGGACTGACCAGATATAGTAATGCGGTTTGGATCGCCCCCGAATCCGTGAATATTTTGCTTCACCCATTCAACGGCCAAACGTTGGTCTAGCAGACCAAGGTTGGGAGGGTGTCCAGGCAGACCGGGAAACCCGAAGATGTTCATGCGGTAGTTGACCGTCACGACGATTACATCCTCTGCATCAGCAAATCCGCCTCCATAATAGAAAGGAGTATCAGTGGTGCCACTTGTCCATCCTATATCATGTCAGAAACACGAGGCCAGATAAAAATAGGAAACAAAAACCTACTTCCACCGTAAAAATGGACATAGACGGGCTTGGGTTGATTTGGGTCTGGCTTTGACCAAACATTCAGACTCAAGCAATCTTCACTTTGAGTGTTGTTATTGATTGCCGCGAAAGCCTCGAAGATGCTGTCAAATTGCGGAGTTTTGTTGGGATAGTCGACCAGCTTCGACGCCGAGTACATGCAGTCTCTGTATATTTCTGTTAACAGAAGATGTATGCATAACAGCATCTCCCCAGATAGCACTCACTTCCCCTAATTATACTAATGTCAGAATTCCGTGCTAAGGTTTCATGTGCCGCGAGATATAAGGGATAAGACGAGATCATACATATTCCGAGGCTATGTGAACACCCCTGGGCGTGTAGGGTTGGGGCGGTGCGAATCGCAATTGGTCGACTGGCGGCTGCGCGTAGGGAATCCCCAGCCATTCCGTGACCCCCGGATTCTTCAATGCCTCGTGGCCTTGGATGACACCATTCGACCCGACATGGGCCTGTCGTGCTACGGCGACTGCCGCGAAGGTCAACCAAGTTACTTTCATGATTTCTTCTTGAATGAGATCTTATTGAGCCGGAGGGACAAGAGCGAAGGAAAACAGAGCGTGGCAGAAATCGGGTGTTAGAAATTAACCGACGCATCTAATATAGCGTCGATAGGGCCGAGTGGGTCTAGCATACTCTGTAGTCCGTAGAAGCCAGCCATATTCGTTCTGCCGTGATTTAATTTAGGACCACCCTGTTCTCGCCAATTAAACTAACAACTAAACCCATTCGGCTTTTGGGTTACTTGGCGAGGACGCGTACTGTCTCATGTTCATAATAGATCTATTTTTTGGCCCCCGAATGGGGCCGTCCGAGGTCACATCGAATGCCTAGTAGCGGCACGGAAGCCTTTGATCCTTGATCTCATCATCGAAAAAAAGCTCTTTCTCCTAGACCTATAGTTACTCATTAAATGCACATAAGAAATGATCTTTTCGCTTCGATCCAACCCCATCTGACCTGACGATGTCATCCAAAGTATGACATTTTATGGCCAAACAACCGACGGTATCCCGGATAGAGGCCATGTACTATTCATTACTGCGCTTGTAATGGTGCTCATTGCGACCATCTTTGTCACCATTCGACTGGCAACCAGGGTTCATCTGAAGCAGTTCGGCTGGGATGACCTTTTCCTCATCATTGCCCTACTGGCATCGGCCATGACAACAGCCGCTATCAATTTGTGTAGGTCAAAATAACATTTCTGGTTTAACGCGGGTGTGAGGATTCATCTACTAACCACAAGCTCTTTGATTGCCAGCCGTCGTGCATGGTTATGGCAGGAAAAAAGCGGATATGGGAGAGAGTATACATATAGCTCTTAAGGTATGTGTGCAGTGATATCGACGGTAACACTCGTTCAAAATTCTCATAGTCGGGCAGTGGTTTTTTGTTGCCCAGGTTCCCTATAAGATTGCTCTAGGCTTTACGAAAGCTTCTATCGTCCTCCTTTACCTCCGAATATTTATTACAAAGTCTTTCCAACGCGTGGGAAAGGCTTTTCTGGCCATCATTGCCGCATGGACAGTCGCGTCAGTCCTCGTGACAATTTTTCAGTGTATCCCAATCGAAGCTTCTTGGAACCACAATATCAAGGCCAAACGATGCGTGGATAAAGATAGCTGGTGGTATGCATTTGCAGCAATGAACACCGTTACCGACGTTTCGATCGCCATTCTCCCCATCCCCCCAGTTCGCCACCTGAAGCTTTCGAAGCGCGACCGAATTGGGCTTTGCTTTGTTTTCGGTGTCGGGGCATTGTATGTTGTCATCTCATCCCACCTTTCTTTTACATTGACCAAGGTTCTAATGCGTGATAATCATGAATGTAGCGTCTGCGTCACTAGTATCCTCCGTACAGTCGCAGTATCTCAAACATCGACTGGCTTAGATCAAAGCTGTGAGTGTCTTGGAAGCCTCTAAAAAGAAGAGAAATCAGTGGACAACTGCTGACAAGGTTTCAATATAGGGGATTTCATCCCTCGCTCAGTCTGGACTCTGGTCGAGTGCAACACGGGAATAATCTGTGCATGTCTCCCTATGATGCGCCAGCCGCTAAGCTTTCTGTTTCCATCGCTTTTCAGAGGCTCGTCTCAGAATGAATCAGAAAACCTTCGCTATGCTCCGATTGAACTGAGGTATACAAAGCGCCAACAGCGTCCGGGAGGGAGTCAAAGCCAAGAGAACATTTTACAATCGGATGTGCGAGGCGGAGTGGCTTTGGTCGAGGAACAAGGTAATCACGTCTGTTTTACGACAGAGATCCAGCAAAATGTTATGAATGGGAATATGAACTTGAAGGGACACCATTTGTCATCCTCTTCAAAGTTCATCCAAGGTTAATAGGGCCTGTTAAAAGCTGTATCTCCATATCAGCTGATACAGGCTCTTCAAGGGCCGGGGCCCGTATTATTATGTCGATCACATCTCTTTATATGATAAGCCATACATCATAGTAAGCTGCTATAGGATTAAATAGACGGTTATAGCCTCGACAAGTAGAATATAGAGAATTTAAAGTAATAGAAAATTAGGCATTAAGTATTCAAGCATTAAATTTTCAACCTATATAAAGAATTGGCGTGATATAGGTATATTCAGGCGGAACTTTGGAATAAATCCTCATATTATATAAAATATGAGAAGAGGTACTACTGTAGAGCCTGGGTTGGCATTCAGGATAACGCAGAGACAAGAAAAGCAAGACTTAACCCCTGTGTGCTCCCCAAGACATGAAATCTTCTGTAGCGCGTTCTGGGCTTCTTGCGATACTCTTCCAAGGTTTGTTGATGGCTGCTAGTCGGCTCCAACCCCGGATCGGCATGCATTAATCCTTCACTCCCAATCTCACCATCCCTCCCTCTTCCTGTCACTTCGATGTCACTTCTGGCCTTCTTGCAGCTCTCGTTCCGCTGGTTAATGATAGGTTCTCCTCCAGATGTGCTACGGCTATGAGCCGAGAAGTTCTTCATCACTTTCACTATTGTCAGTTTGCACCATCGATTATCGGACTCTTGATGTTACTGTTGCATTTTACTTTTCTTCATCGACATTCATGGTTCCACCAGTCGCTCTACTCTCACTTCGCATCTCACTTCACTTCTCACTTCGCACCTGCCTTCTCTCTCAGTTCATATTGACTACCCATAATGGAGAAGCTCAAGGCCCACAAAGTAGAGTACTGCAGAGCCTGTACCTTCCCTATTTTTCGTTTCCTTAACATATCCTTTTCTTCGCGCTTCAACCGACTTTGCTCCTCAAGTACCGCCAAAAATGACGTCGCTTGCAACTGGTGGCTCCGTAGGCCCGGATGCTTCTCTTCCTGAGCCCATCTCTCGTACCGTCCCTTCTTCATCTTCTATCATGAGCGATCTTCCAGATGGATACGTCGTTCACCACTTTTCCCGTTTCAAGTTGCTGCGTTCCTGTGCCGAAACCCTTCTCGAGTCCTTCGAGTCAAAGTCAGGAAACCAGTGGCTTGTCGTTCTCGGCTTGTCCCAATATGCTCTACGAAAGCTCGATGAAGACCACAGTTGTTTACAGGGGATCGATTATCGCTTTGCACGGGAAGGAAATTATGGACTCATAAAGATAGTCCCTTCCTTCGGACACGATTCGGCAACCAATGAAATCACCAGGGTAGTGGATTTTGCTCTCACCGGCATGGGACTCGGATTCGTCTCGCCAAACAGCAGAAAGTGGAAGTGGGTCTCGACCACAACGTACAAGCCGACTGCGAACAAGGGGAAGCAAGCTGACCAGGGATTTCTTCCGCCATCTCGCCGCCCGTCTGCCCCCGGGCTCCCCCTCCCCCCGGCTGGCCAACCCTCACCATTGAGACGGGCCTATCTGAATCGTTATCTAAGCTGAGACAAGATGCCCGGTGGTGGCTGTCTAACCCTTCCGGCGAGGTCGGAATCGTCTTGGTCGTATCCATCTCGAAACGAAATGATAAAGTCTATGTCGAAAAATGGCAACTGGTGCCACCCACCAGCCCGCGCCCCCTCACCAGATCACACATTCAAATCCTGTGCCAACAGAATCCGAACATCCCCCACTGATCCAGCAGCCAGCAGTGTCACAGCAAGCATACTGCACGCACGAAGTCGAGATTACTGCCATTGTCGTGACTGGTGCCCCGCTCACACTACCATTTGTTGCTGTGTATGATAGACCACCGACACAAGGGGAGGGAGACATTGTCCTTACAGCGCAGGATTTTCTGGAAGTCACCTCTGATCTGTAATGTCTTCGGGTTTGCTTTTTTTTATTTGCGTTTGGGGAGAGGTTCGCCACAATTATCAGTACCCTGTTTTTTCCCGTTTATTGTCGGTACTGCCTGACTTGGCCGTTCCACTGCGTCTAACCCCGATTTGAATCCCTCGCACGACAGAAAAATGAGCGTTCAGAGTATGACTTTGCTTGTTCGTATCCACAGAAGTTCATGGGCTCAGTCGTTTCACTTTTATAATATACAGATAATTATCCATCCATACAGAATATATAGTTCAGCGCTCGGCATCCGCAACAGAATGCTGAAGATTAGGGCGTTTATTTTCCAAATACGAAGTTTCTTCCGGATATTCGAAGGTCTCCCAAGGTATGCCCGCTTTCGCCTCCGTGGAGGATAGTTGACTAGACTGTCACCGCCAGTAAAGATAGCCATGTCATAAATCAAGGCGCCAAACAATGCACCGGTGACGTCTGCGATCCATGGACCCCAAATCCACCATGCATGGTATTCTCAAAAGATATGGCAACCCCCTTGCCCTTGCATGCCTGAGGGTTATCAGCCCGGCACAGGGGCAGTATGATTCTCAGACGATCATTCTTCAGATGATACTAATTAAGGGCCTCCTCAACACCATTTCACTTCGCCATATTGCAAGCATATTTGCAGCCAAAAGAAATCAAGAGCAATGCCTGACTCTCCAGATCTAGAACAGGCCAATCCTTTGTTGCTAGAATCGGAATCTGAATATCGCAGTAGTCTCGAGTACTCACGAGACACGGTAGACTTCGACCGAAATGGGGACCCAGGAAATCCACTCGAGTGGTCTGACTTTTACAAATGGGGGGTCGTGGCCTTGCTATCCTTCATAGGCTTCACAATGTACGTATCAATCTCAGCCCTGTCGGAATACCGACTTTAAGCTAATTATTTCCAGCACATTCACATGCATCTCGTTAGCCCCGATAGCAGGCCATGTCATTGATGATCTCAATGGCACCAAAGGGGCTAAGTCTGCCACCGTTATGCTTGTCACAATATGGGAGCTAGGCGAGGCAGTAGGTCCCCTTTTCATCGCTCCGCTATCTGAGATATTTGGACGATATCGCCTTTACTTGACTACGAACACGATGTTCATTGTGGCTACCTTGTTTGCGGCTGTATCGCCCAGTGCTGAACTGCTTATCGCTTCACGCGCTCTAATGGGCATTTCAGTAGCGTCCAACGTGCTCAGTCCTGCCATTATTGGTGACATGTTCGTTCCTGAGCAAAGGGGCACTGCCCTTACTCTGATAATGTTCACGCCCCTCATCGGTGGTACCGTGGGACCGGTTATTAGCGGTGCTATCCTGCAGAGTCTAGGCTGGCGCGCTATTATTTGGATTAGCGTTGTGATGGCGAGTATTTGCCAGATCTTGTTCTTAACCTTCTTCCAAGAAACCTATAAGGCTCAAATCTTGCGCCAGAGGGCGGCTCGGCTGAGTCTTGAAATTGGAGGGTTTGAGAAGAACAAGCGTCCTTCGGGGGACTTGGCCAGCTTGCGAGAGTCGATCATGCGCCCAGTGGTAGTTCTACTCAACTCGAGTGTTCTGGCGGCTCTCTTACTGTTTGGGTCTTACATTTTCTCTCATTTCTACATTGTATCCACAACACTTCCAGAGATTTTGGAAGATATTTACGGACTATCGCCGACTGCAACAGGTCTTGTTTTCATTGCAAATGGTGAGTTTGCTGCAGTGGCCCCGTGATTCTTGAGTGTATGGACTAATGAGATATTTTCAAGCCATTGGCACCATCATCAGTTTCATAATCTCGAAAGTCTTGTTGGATAAAATATACGTCAAGCTCCGCACGCGAAACAATGGAGATGGTCTGCCCGAATACCGACTACCACTCAGTATCATTGGAGCCTTGACCCTCCCCCCTGCCGTGATTCTGTATGGGTGGTGCGCCGAATACAGGCTACCCTTGTGTGTGCTTGTCTTTTCGATGATATGGCTTCGTACTTCTATGATGCTGGCCTCCTCGCCTTTGACGGCGTACACTGTGGATGCTTGTGGGCTTTATTCGGCATCTGCAATGGCTGGTCTGATATCGATGAGATGCTTAGCTGGAGCGTTCTTGCCGCTCTCAATATCGCATCTGACTGAGAGACTTGGCTACGGTGGAGGATTTTCTATGCTTGGAGGTCTCGGCCTGGTCTTTGCTCTCATTCCTATATTTGTTTTCCACTATGGTGCACAGTGGCGACAGCATTCGCGATATACTGCAAGTAATTCGTGATTCTTTCCATCACTACGCTATGACAAAGCGCAGCAGAATGTCAGAGGCGCCGCTTTTTGGAAACGGCTTTTTGGCATTGAATTCTTGGTCGACTCAGAATGCGATTCTAATTTAAGTCCCAGGAGGTGCCCACCGAATGTGGTATTTGGTGCTTGAATATCGAACGCAACAAATCGAGAGTAGTGTGGGATTTGTAAACAGACAATTCAGAATTGGTCCCTTACGCCTGTCTCTTGCTCCTCGCTCAACCTTTTCTCATTCAAGTTCGTCCACCATGCGTGCGATGGGTCTTTGCTCGGTCCAGATTCATCCCATGGCTTCGGGCTCAGGATGTAATGTACATTTTTAACATTCTCATCGCGCCATATGGTGTCATGTACACCTTCCCACCGTAGGGTTTTGAGCGCGTTGTAAATATACGGGAGTGCAACCCAGCGACCATAAAATAGATCACCGAGAAGGGACTGATCGGCAAAATCATAATTCGATGTTGTAGAAGTCGCAAGCTGTCCAAGGATTTTCTCGTAGATTGCTTGAGCTGGGCTTACCACCTGTAGGCCTCCATTGGGTATCCCCAATCCTGCAATGGGTGGAGCACCGGTTGTTTGCGCGACGTCAGGATTGTCATGCTGCATGCTATAGGCACAATTGGCCGGAACCCTTTCAGAATTCTCGAATTAGCTCCGCTGTAATTCGCGCTTGAATGATTCCGAAATCTGCCGGGGGGAAGGTCTTACCAGTCTGTTGGGTAGTGAGGTTTATGAAGCGGATTGCAGGTACAAGCATGGCTAGCGGCAAAGACTCGATTCCCGTTTCCAGCCATTTCCGGTGGATCCAAGTCGATATCCATTAATTCATCCATATTTTGGAGGACCACCATGTCACTGTCAAGTTGCACAACACGGTCATATTCAACGAGTGAGAACGGTGTGAGTTTGCTCCAACAATCGTAAAACCGTACATCGTTGGTGAAGTCCTTTGGAGCTGACGGAAGGAGATATGGTACATGCCGCTTCAAGATATTTCGGGAATCAAGTGCTTTGTGGCCATCATCAGGGAAGGAGTCCGTGTAAAGAACGACAAGCGGATACTTTGACCCCACCTTCCTGAGAGAGTACTCAAGAGTCAAAAGCCCAGAGAGGTACGCAGTATTTGTTATGAGCGTGGTCCAAACTGAGAATTGTTATCAGGCTGAAGAAAGACATTGAGTTTCAGATTGCCCTGTCGATCCGTACCTTTCGAGGCATGTGGTTTGAGGTTATTCTCGCCCATGATTTTGATGGTCGCGCTAGGACTGCTAGGACTGCGTTCCTTTTTTTAGCGGGACTGTGATTGCTGCACGTGAGAAATCGAAACTTACATCTGGCAATTGAAATTAGCTGTTGCACTTGGGTAGAAGAGGAAGGAGATTTGCAATGCACTGAGACCTCGGGGGTGACACGAAGCGCAGCGCGTAAGCGCGTTGTGACCTCGGGAGTGGAGGGCGCGCTCCGGTATCGGTTGCCCAATGAGGGGCACCTCCACGATTAGTTTGTCTGATCAGCATATCCAATCAAGGCCACCCGTGGACGTTATGCTGGTCTTGCCATTATAATCAGAGTGCTTTTACACCTAAGGACGGGAATATTGTAAAATCCCTCCAGTATTCGTTGGATGAACAGAGTTGCTGTTGGTTGTCATCCCGCCTATCCAGGACAATTTTCGTAATAATTCCAGTGATATTCTCTCTCACACTACAACATTCTCCTGCCTTGAGGCACAGGTCAGATTAGGCAGCCTTTCCCACCTTTTCCAGTCGGTATATGTAATTCATGGATACCTGCGTCCTTCGCGAGCTTTCTCTCCAGGACTAGGTAGTATCCTGTATGAGTCACATCCTTTTATAACGAGGCTAGACCCAGGATATGCATAAACTCTCCCTCCTCACAAGCTCGGCAGAGATTGAAGCACTACATTACGTATTTCAGCTCTCGTCATAGACAAGAGAAAGTCGAATATAAGTGCGTTATTCATCCAGCTTAGGGAAATGGCAGGATCTACGCTCAGTTTCCATACGCCCGAGTCGCTCAGCCCTTTTCTATGCCGGACAGATAGTGATCCTCGACCTGTTGTTATGATGACTTGCGGAATGGCAGGTAAGTAATATAAAGATCTAAGGGCAAGCTCTTCGTGAATAGCTAATGGGGATTTTATTAATAGGGTCTGGAAAGTCATCGCTTTCTAAATGGATATTATCGAATCACCTCTCTTTCAAACGGCTCTCAATCGACTCTTTCATATATGCCAAATACGGGCTGTATGGTGTTGATTATCCAGAAGATAAATACAACCACTATCAAAGCGAGGCCGAGAGGGCTCTCCGAGATGAATTAGCGCAGCTGCTTCAACAGGGCTCTCAGGATGCAATCCTAGATTTGTCTTTCGCCTTTCGAAAATCTAGAAATGAATGGAAGGACCTGATTGAAAGGTCTGGGGGACGGTGGGTGCTTGCGTATCTTGATGTTGGTGTTGATGAGTTGCGCCGGCGGGTCAGGGCCAGGAACGAGTTGGCCGTCAAAGACGGCGACTCAGCCTTTTTTGTGACGAATGAGATCCTTGAGTTTTTTATTGCTGGCTTTGAGAGACCGATCGGGGAGGGTGAAGTTGTTTTACGTCTTAATAATGAGTTTAATACCGGCACCGATCTATGAATTTTAGCGCCGAAGTGAGATATGTTGGCCGATTGCGTTCATCAAGGCTGGCGGTCCTAATACGGTGTAGCGTTTTCTAGGTGGGGTTTTGAGAAATAAAGAACCAGGGCAAAGGTAAATCTGATTTTGAATATCACTGTCTTCATCTAAAGCCATTTTTCCTAACATATCAACGATGTCGTCGCCCATATCAATACATGCACGATGTGCGCAATGCAGCCTATCACAAAGCCAAACCCAAAGAGGAACACCGTAATACCAAGCACCACGCGTGGCACTGAGCAAGGCAGCATATCACACATCATATTTTTAAAGGTTATAGGGTGAGAATATGTTGACGGAAGGGTAAAAGGCCAGTTAGGTAGTAGAAGCACCCTTGAAAGAAAGTTGTGTTATGATGATACTAAGGACAGTAGTTCAAACAGGGGAAGGAACACCTACTTGTGCTCTCAAAATTCTTCTAGGTCAGTGTAATGTTTTCAAACTCTCTGGAACCCACGCAGAGTCCGCTTCTTTGTAAAGAATATTTTGGGGCGAGTTCCTGTTGAGTCGAACGATAGTAAAGGGGAGAACATATGGTATTGTTTTCCTATTTTATCTATGCACATAAGTAATGATGATTCCATCTTGTCTCCGAGTCCCTTTTGGTAAATGCAGTACTCAGGATGATCGCATGTTTACTCTGGGAAGAATCTAAATATCCGTCCGGGCCGGCCCACAGCCATGGATGAGTTCATTCCTACTAGTACCGGTATCTAGTACTGGTTTATCTTATAGTCTTGGCAAAACCACTCTTCACCTTCAAGGTGAATTTGTGATGTAGTCAATAAATAAGTGAAATAATGGCGGCTAGCTGTCCCTGTGAGCCCGTTCGGAAATCCACCGAGCTTATACGCGTGCGTCGAGAGAGCTGGCACACAGAGATTTTAGGGTTTAGCTGTTTAACGCCGCTAGGCTCAGTGCATGTTGATGTACATCAATGAAAGATGGGGTGGGGGAGTGATTGGATATCTCTCGGTGCACACTTGCATTAGATTAACGCCGCCTCGTTCAGTGATTAAACACATAGCCGATCTAAATTTAGGTCCCCTGCTTTACTTATTGCAATATAATAAGAAACTGCCGGGAGGTAGAAAGCTGAGTATGGCATTATATCTATTCATACCAGCCGAAGACATCAACAATTTCATAACATCCCATTTATCTCCCCCTTTCGTTTCAAAAAGCAGATTGAGCGTCAAATTTTGTATTTCCATTCATCCCCGCGGATTTCGAGCTCATTAGCAAAGAACGCGATGGACGTTTCATCTTCAATTGCTACTTGGCTCTCTTTAGCTGTAACATTCGTCGGTCTTGGTTCTATCGCTACTCGGTTCGGCGTGATTGTCGATCGGACAGATGAATTCCATGACGTGCGGGGCATGCGGCATTTAGGCAGCTGGTGGCACCGACAACCCCACATACCATGGTATCATATTGTCAAACCACCGCCTATTGGGCCTGTTATCAGCGCAAACCTCTTGCACGGGCTCTGTGGGAACAATCTGGTGTATGTCAGTCGCTTGCCATTATCATCACACCAAGTGGGTCAGGCAGCATGGTCGGTGCTACTTGCAGTCATTCACCCAGGTTCTCAAATCAATAACCAACACAAATCATCGGAAAAACTCTCAACTCATGGTTCTGTGGGGTTTGAACACATAGTCACTATCACCAATGAGCCCTTCCGGATCCCTCCAAGCGACAGCTGGGCTGACATGCCTCTTCGTCCTCTTACGAGGCACAAGTTGACCACTTGCACCGTGATTTCGCGCGCAACCCTTATAACACTATTCTGCATAACGAATGCGCGGCCGGTATTCTGGTATAGCAGCGCTTCTGGTCATCGAGCTGCCTACGCATCTTACTGCGGACAATGGCGGGTGGAATGGCCCATTGGAGACCTTGCACGAGTTTACTTTTGTGCGCATGATTCTCACACTCTATTAAAGGACCCATATCCGGTAAAGTTTCAGCAGAGAGTCGATAAGTGCTTACAGATGCTGGCTGGGGTGATTGAATCACAGTCATCAAGTACATTTAAGTGTGCTTTCCCAGGACGCAAATCATCCGGCAAATGGAGTCTTGAATATGCGCCCAAAGGATTCGGCGGTGCGCATGGCGGACGGCATCTTTACAACATGCTCGGCGGCAAAGTGAGCGAGGTGGACTTCTTGGCCATGAAAGCGATCGATACAGAACCAGAATCATCAGAGGACATGGTGGTTCTTTACTTGCCTAACAAAGATTCCGGTGTGCGTGATGTAACTTTGCACGTCCCAGAGCAAGAATCTGCCGTTCTCAATGAAGCCTTGGATAAACTTCCTTGGACATTTCTGTCATGGTCGATTCATCGAGGGCTACGTGATATCCTCGTTGCTTTTGCAAGGGAAAGGATGGACCGCTACCGAAACCGTTTGGCAGAGACACTCCGTCTTGCGGTAGCAAAATGGCCAGAAAAATTGGAAGCCAGGGGATGGGATCCGCGGTTTGTGAGGGAAGATATGGCAGCCATGGCAGCAAGTGCTGTTATGGCGGGCCGGGGGAATTCAGGAGATGTCGTCAGAATCGTGACCGAAATAGCAGCGATTTTATCGGGCGGTCCAGTTTCAGCCCTTGATGAGACAATGTTTTGGAGGGATACCGCTCCGACATCTGGTCCTGCAATCCTTGACCCGATGATCGTCATCGCTCTTGTCAAGTGCTTCGTCCTGGAGTGGAGTAATGACTTGAACTACCAGATGTACCACGATTTCCCCATGGAGATGTATCTAGGATGAGCAGGTACAGCTAACCCTTCGAAACCCAAGATTTTGTCCTTAACTTAATGCACTGCCCATGAATTATGCATAGCAACTTCTCTTCGGTTTTTACCTCGAACGTTTTTAATTGGTTACTTCTTGTTTCGTCGCCTCCATCGCTCGCTCTCCTCTATGTATATACTTCCTATCGTGTTCCACTCCTATAAAGCTTTATCCACTCTATTATCTATAGTTATAGTATAAACCTCCGCCGATACAGAGCATCTGCCGAGTGCATCAACATCATCACCCGGGGTATCTCCCGGAACTTTGGTAAAACGAAACCATGGACACTTGACGAGAACACTTACATAGGTACCTAGGTACTCGAGCTCAACATGAACCTTGGAACGCTTGTCGAAACGTGGGGAACGATCTCGAAATCTCGGGAGCCGGTGGATGCCGAGGCTATGATCCATGGAACAAACGGAGTCTAAGGGCGATCTTTGAAATTTGAGCTTATCGAGATACCTATCTTCACAGTCTACATCCATGAGCGTTGGTGAATGCAAGAGAAAACAGCAGACGGTTAGAAGCAATTTCGAGAATAGAAAAGAAATCTGGTGTGAAGTCAGACAACCCAGACCTCCACAAATAAGCCTCAAAACACTAGTGCAGGGCTATACTGTGCCAATCTTATCCAGCCAATAGAAGCGACCAATTCCAATTTCTCAAGTGATCTCGTCGCTTGATTGGGACTTTGAGGGTCCTGATGAAACGAGGTCTCACTTAAAAATAGAGTCCCAAAAAGAAAAAAAGGTCAGGGGAAAGCACTACAGTGATGGGTGTGTTAGTCTTTCAGCCTTAACCTATCAAGCCCACGGCGCTTGACAGCGTTGTGTATTGTCCCCTCTTAAATCCTCTCTTCTTTCTTCTACACCGTCACCATGCTCGCTCAGGGGCCGACATTCACCAGATTCTCAACCGCAAGCATATTGATCCTATTAGTCTCTTGTTCATCCTCTATTACCACTCCATGAGACAGTGGACACCAGAAGGTCCCTCCACATATGATCCATCCAGAGAGGGATTCCAACTGGCATCGCCGCGGATCCCAGAGAAGATCTGGTACAAAGTCAGACCTAAAGGATTGAGCGACCAGTCACACGAATGGCTGGACGATTGTCTCCAACAAAACCCAGCTCATAGCGCGCATATCATGACCGACCTCACGGGCGATTAGTACGTGCAACAGAACTTCGGTGATCGTCCCGATATCGTCGACGCCTATCTTTCTCTCGCGGTACCGATCCTGAAAGCAGACTTCCTGCGCTATCTACTTCTTTTTCGCCGAAGGCGGCATCTGGGCCGATCTCGATGTCTCATGTGGTGATGTACCAATTAAAGAATGGATCCCCGAGACAATGCGCGCTAAAGCTGGTCTTGTTGTTGGGTGGAAGTTTGATGTTGATTGGGGAGAGAATTTTATCCGGCAGTTTGAGAGTTGGACAATTATGGCGGCGCCCGGATCGCCGCATCTGTTGATGGTTATCAATGATATTATGGATGGAATTCGTCAGAAGACGAAGGAGTATCAGGTTCCGGTTTCGGGATTGACTTTGGACATGACGGGTGATGTGATTGACTTTACGGGGCCAGGACGTCTTGACTCGTGGGGTTTTGAAGAGCTTGGAATTGGCTCACAATGAGACGATCGATATGGCGAGTATCTCAAATCTCTTAGAGCCCGTTTTGCTCGATGATGTTTTGATCTTGCCGGGGTATTAGTTCGCTGCGTCGGCGAATTCTTATGGCAATGAGAATGTGACTGGTCCTGCATTGGTCCGGCATCATTATGCCGGCAGTTGGAAGAACCATAATGGTGGTGAGATGTGGCTTAATGCTGCGTATCGTTCTATGACTTTCTTTTTAGACTCCCTAGAATACGTCGCCCTTAGTGCCTTTCTCTATCGCATGTATTAAATACCCTCCCTTATGTTTAGCTTGAATCTAGAGAGCCTGGAGAAAAGCTTGACATTCTAATGACAGCGACCCTTGGCGTTGTTTTGCCTTTCGAATCTTCTGATCGCTCTTTGAGGCTGTGAGGCTGCTGGCCACAGAACGTGGTATCAATGTTCTCCAATATTAGTTGCCTATCATCCAGAGATTTAGAGGCGAATCTCCCGGACACTGAAGCTGAGGAGCAATGCAAAAGCTGACAACACAAGGGAAGTGACTGTAAACAAAATTAGGATTTTGGGCGGGCATAAGTATGCGACAAGGGACTCACTATATGTATCCTTCAGCGCCATTACATAGCAGTTGACGACGATTTCCTGTAGATACCCGCCTAGATGGGTGATGTAATTGAGATCGGATATGGCACGCCGGATAATCTGTCTCAGGTTAGCTGCCGCTTATAGCAATCCCAAGGGAAAGGACATCCATACCTGGGGTGCCTCTGGCTCGTGCATGTGATGCTCTAACTGCGTGCGAAATTCGAAACCTAAGATTGCGTTGGTTCCCGTGACACTGACAGTCATGAAGAATGTATGTAGTAGAATATATCCTCCGGTCACAGTGGCAATTTCTTCTGGCTCCAGGAAGGATGTCATCAACACGAACACGGTGGTCGAGGAGATGCCAGTGCCAAGCCCGCCAGGAATGACGTATAAGGATTCCAAAAGGCTAGTATGTCCATTCCAACGCAGCCAGAGTAGCAGATACGTGGACGATGCTATAATGGACCCCATAACAAGCAGAATCTTATATCGTCCAGTCCGTCGAGCAAACATACCCGCAAAGAGACCGCCTGACGCATTACCCAGAACGGCAGGCACAAGATGGGCACCAGCCTCAACCGTGGATGCATGTTTGGTGACCTGGAAGTAAAGTGGCACGGAGAACATCATCCCAACCTGGGCTGCGATTTGCAGCGAGCCAACTAGGTAGCTTGCAAGCACGTTTGGTCGCCGCAGGACACGTAGATCGAAGATTGGCTCCTTCGCAATATACAGTTCTGTGTAACAAAAGCCCGCCATCAAAACAACAGACGTGACGCCCAATGAGCATGACAGCCATGAAAGCCATGAAAATGATTTTCCACCTTGATCAACCAGCAGGACAGTCGCAGTGACCGCTGCCGCTAGTAGGCTAGTGCCTAGGAAGTCGATGCGTTTGAAAATAGAAGTTTGGAGGCCATCCAGAGTCGTTGCAGGTAACGGATGCGGCACCTTGAGTTTGAAAATAACGGGGAGTGCAGCAAGTCCGATTAATGGAGCTTGAAGGAGAAGTAGCCTTCACGATTTCTTATCAGCCAAAATGTAAACGAGTTCCTTGCGAGAGCCACATACCATCTCCATCCGATCGCGTCGGTGAGCCAACCGCCCACAGGGCCGCCAGCACCGCGGCCCAATGTCATGGCGACGTTGACATAGGCTCGCCAGTGTGCCACATCTTTCTTGGGAACGATATCTAAGTCACGAAGCCAGCAAGGTCAGAGACCAGATCCATACCCCGATTTTCGCACTCACCGAGTATAATTACAGATCCCATCACCATCGTCCCGGCGCCTCCTACACCACTAATAGCGCGGCCCAAAATGACCACCCACATCTCTGGTCCGATGCCACTATGGAGACCGCTATGTTAGATATACGATAGATTATCCACTTATCTGAACGATATGCCTACCATATGATGCACCCGAGAGCCAAGAAAAAATAAGCTGTCAGCAGGAGGGGCTTCCGACCGAAAATATCACTCAATTTAGTATACTATTTTGAATTATTCTGGTCAGCTTCTCCAACGATCGGGATTTCTCATTAACACTCACTATCGGCAGCGTCGAACACACGCCGAGTGTGTATGCTGTGGAGAGCCAGTTGGCAGCCTGCAAGCTATCGAACTCGGATGAAATTTGGCCGGTAGACGCCATCACCAAGGTCGCATCGGCATTAGAGATAAATTCTCCTACATAGCCACAGTATACTCAGCAAAGTGTGCAGAATAGGATGCAGATGCATCCAAGACCACGGAAAGCTGCCTACCGAGCAAGAGAACGGCGACGATGCCTGCTACATCCTGTACTGCCTCCTCCTTGCTTTTCGGAGGACTCAAAAGTTGTACAGCTTCTTCATCGATGTCCCTGCCAACCACCGGTGGTGCACATTTGGTATCGTGAATTGCGCCATATGAAGAGTCTTCACGACTAATATTTAAATAGGTCGATTCCGATGCTTCCACACGGACAGGCATGATAATCCTGTTGATGGGCTTCGCAGTGCTGCAGACTAGAATGTCCCAGCTAGATGTTTGGCTTTGGAGTCCAGTGCGGATGCGAGATAGAAGTACAGAACAAAAAGTTGTACCTAGAGTAAGGGATGTTAATACGGATATATCCTCCACTCAAGACCTGAGATCCAACAAGACTTACATTACATATTTCAAGAGAACACCATGGATTCACCCAATCATGACCCTTAGACTAACTCCACCAGGCGCACTATTGGAACCTGCATGAACGGGGGACCCTAAGTGATCCGCATGCCGCATTTTCAGCGCTTCAGCTGAGGTGGGCCGGATCTGCACTCGCCTGTCCACTGCTTACTGCGTACCCGAAAGATCTCATCCTTACATGGATTTGTTCCATCTCTCCCGGATGGATAATCACAAGTTGGCTTTACGAGGATTAACCTTAGGGTGTATGGGCCGTGTCATTTCCTACAATGATAGTTCATGAATTTCAATAAATGCTTATATGTATGTTATGATGTGACATCCATGGCTGGACAGATGGATGGATACGTAGGCGGAGAAACAGAGTTTCTGCCGGAAGATTCATCCAGGCGGAGAGGACGAGATTCCAGAATCCACTCAACCTATCAGTTACCTCCAGCTGCTTCGTACGGAGTACATATGTGGATATGTGGTGTGCTTCTGCTTTCTCCAGGTGGCTACTATCACGCAATTATGGCGTCTTATTAGGCGTTCATGCAAAGGAAAGCAAAGGAACATTCATATATAACCGGCCCGAAATTTCTATTAGGAATTAAAAGTATCCATTATATCACACAACCCACGAAAGATGCTGAAGCATAACTTTTTGTGCTATCTCAGCTTGGCCCGGGATATCCAAATCCCATAGCAACCCCATCCGTTTATTCAATAAATGCTTGAGCTCTTCTTCTCCCTTAACTGCATCCAAGCTCAGACTGAGCAGATGTCCCATGTCTCTGCTCGTTCTTACCACCCACTGACTCCTTGGCCTCCTCATAGCGTCATAGGCGTGGAATGCAGCCTTCACTTGTTCTCGCCTGAGAACACGCGGATCACCCAGGAGTTCTGCGAGAACGTGGACATCCTCAATAGCCTGACCCGCACCGGCGCCTTGGTGAGGCGTCGAGGCATGGGCGGCATCGCCCAAAATGGCTATGTTGTTTCGTGTATATGTCGAGATAGGGGGATTATCAAACACGGCCCATCGAATTGGGGTCGTTATATGCTGAGGCAGTTAAAGGTTAGTATAAATATCTAGGGTAGGGCCCTTTATCACGCGCCAGTCAAACAGCTTGCGCACCTTTAGTATTGACCGGACGGCATCACCCATATGACCAAAGTCATGTTCCATCTCTTCTCTGCTCACAGATTGAACCCAAGTGTCATGATTCCAACTATCACTCTCTTTGAAGAGGCCCACGTTTACTTGTTTCGCACGCATGATCGGATAGGTAACCACATAGCCACCTTCTCCCATATACATGGTTGCAACTCGAGCGCGGTGCTCGCCGACAGCATCAATCATAGCGCCCATGTCCAGCACGGCCCGGTACGCGTACATGCCCGCATACTGGGGCCGAATCTGCTCTCCTAACAACATGCATTGCCTAACCCGTGAGTGGATGCCGTCGCAACCGATTACGACGTCGGCCATTGCCGATGAGCCATCTTCAAAGCGTAGGCTGATACCCTGAGCCATCTCTTGCATCCCTATCAGATTCTTTCCCCATCGCACCTTCCCCGGGGGCAGGCAATTGATCAAGGTTTCAAGGAAGTCGCCACGATGTACGGATGTCTGTCCCAGGGTCTGCGCCCTTAGGTTTGTCATAACCTTACCACACTTGTCCGCGGTAGTCCAGACGAGCTCAAACCAAGTGCGGCAGAAGTGTTCATAGCCCGGGCTATCGGCATGTGTGGTCACTAGGGCATCATATGCTTTGCTGATGCTAGGGTCGATCAAGGAAAGAGCACGGTGAGCGGCAGGGCCCATCGAGATACCAAAGCCGGTGCTTTTGAAATTCGGAGCTGCCTCATAGATCGTGACGGGAACATTATTCCGCAGGAGGCCCAAAGCCAAGGTGAGCCCACCCACTCCAGCCCCGACGATGGTCACGCTGAATTGTCGGTTGGGGATTTCGATCGAGCCCATTTCTCCTTGAATGAACGGATTCTCGGGGTGTAGGAGCGAAATGGGGGTGGGGGAGAAATAAGGCCTGTCGAACACGGTGGATAATCTCCAAGGATGTATCCAGCTGCACTGCAACTTTCAGAGCAGGAAAAGGAAAGATTGAGGGCGCCGTGGGTCAGCTCCAGAGTGAAGGATCCACTTCAGCTGTTTTTGAGGGCCATTCTGCGGCGATAGATCATTGCTGTGGCTTTTTTTTTTCC